TTAACTAAATTACGAATTGAATATGCAGAAAAACTGCACCTGATTACCCCGTCAGTCTTCTCAGAGAAACGCGTTCGCTGAACGAGAAAAATGTCCGGTGTCGGGTGAGGAATAAACACGGGTTTAAAAGCGAGAGAGGTACATAATAGCGACGCGCGTAAAAGCATTTAGTTCGCGCTCTGAACGAAGCGAGAGGAAAAAAGGAAAGAAACGGGAAAAGGAGGCTGGAGGTTAGCGAGGGTCGCAGGAAAGGGAGGCTGGGTTAGAGCCGGCAAGGTGGCGGACAAAATTTCAATTCGTTTTCCGTGCGAACTGACTCAGCCTTTCTATTCGTTCCTTCTTCAACGCCACCCGCGTTCTTCTCATCCCGCGGACACTCGGGGCCCACGCCGCCAAATGACAGCCCCCGACGTTTCGCGGAGGAGAACCACTTTGTTATAATTTCCTTTAATGATGGAACCCCGGTGGTCGACCCTCATCCCCCTTTGCCGAGCTCGCGGAATATTTTTTATTACTCTCCGCGATCTCTGACGACCAGACGGGCCTCCAAGTTCTTTCGCGAGATTGGGGCCACGGAAATGTGGCTTACGAAGGCTTCTGTCATGCGTTGAAAAAAATTGTAAAGAAAATTCTTTTCACCGGACGTTTCATTCTTTTCGTGTTATTTTTCTAACTAGCGAAGATCGTATTAAATCGTAATAAGATTTCTGTTGAAAGGCAATGATATTGTAAATGCAACGGATAACTGTTACAGATCAACCAATAATTCGTTTGTCATTATAAATTTTCTTCTTTGCAACAAATATAAAAGACAAAACTGTAGTGTAATATATTATAAATTCTAATTAGTAATTTAGAAATTATAACTTTAGAGATGTGATGCACTATCTGCAGGTTCTTCTCCAATTCAATATTATTGTCATAAGCTATCAATTTTTTATCTAGAATATCTTAATAAAAAAGCTTGAAATTTTATAAAATAGATTAGAATTAACCTATCGTTGAAGCATTTGAAATCCTTGATTTATAAAAAACTGTTTTGTTATCTCTTCTTCATCACGTATTTGTTGATTTGCGAGCAAAGCCACTGTTTTTCATATACGTAAGAAAAATATTCAAAGGAGAGAAAACAATTTCATTAGACGACAATAAGAAGGATAGAGAAGAAAAAGAAAGAGTTTACGTGCGGAAGGACGAAGGTGTACGTTGTCGCACGTGTTACGAGAAGTTCTGCGCTGTAGGATTTCGTGACATGGACTGCAGAGGTTCGGGGGCCAGGGTGAGACTTCCTTAATAAAATGGGGCGCAAACGCCACGCCAGCGAATATCTAGCTGATAGTGGTTCGGTCAGCTCAGCGTCCACATCGAAAATGCCGAGTGGAGGCTGAGGGGTGGCGTAGGCGAGGAACTGCCAAAGCGAAATTCGTGGAAGGGTGGCTGCTGCTTAGGTCGATTCAATTTACCGTCACCCTCCGGCTGGTTGACGACCTTTTCGACGTATCTTAACGTGTCAGTGGATAAAAATAGTAAAATCAAAAGAAAAAAGAAAAGTTGTGAGCGATGATTCGAAAAACAAGGATCTCTTAATTAGAACTTACGGAACGATTAAAGAAAGTAATATTTACTTAGAATGACAGAATTCTCGTGCTTTTATCTTGATTATGAGACTTTTTATTTATTTAATATCAATTGTTTCTTAATGAAGATATTTAACAAATATGGCGAAAATATTAAGAACTTTCTGTAATATTTTAATTATAGAATATGAAATCTCTTTTTTTTAAATTATTAATAAATACTAATAAAAAAATTTAATTATAAAATGCGATACGTATAACTGTGAATGCAATTAAAATATATTCCAAATTAATTATTTCTTTATAAATTAATGTAACATATAATACAATCAGAAAAATAACGGAAAATCAGACAGTTACTCTGCCTTTTTGTTTATTCTCGAAATTCTCGAACTCAGCTGAACTAGGTATATGGCATACATTTGAAGCAAAAAGGTTAATCGCTCCGCGCTACCTGATTCTTAATACTGATCATTTAAAGGTACCAGTCAGGTGACATTCGTTTTGACACCACGTGCTCTGCATCGCCCACATGCAGCAAGGTTCTCTCCCCTTACATCAGGCCGTCGTGCAACGTAATAAACATATTCATGGTTGAAGTAAAGGGTTAAACGCGCGCGGTGGTGGATACAGTTAGATCGGGCAGAGACGGAGGGTAAGAGATCGGAATAGAAGACCCTGTCACATTCCGTAGGCAAAGTGCACAGGCCGAGGAGAACTATGTTCGCATGTGAAAAAAAGATGTCGCAAAAAATGCAAGGTTACTCACATTTTTTTTATTTAATTGAATTGCTTGCGGAGCTGGAGGGGGAGAGAGAGAGAGAGAGAAAGAGAGAGAGAGAGAGAGAGAATGCGGGCAAGAGAGACAGATACAGGAGCAAAGAACGAAAAAGAGTTTCGTTATCGCTGGATAATTCCCTCGCACTTTTTACGTAGGCAACGAAGGGTTCGTGGCTCGGGGATTAATAAAAAGTTAGGCAAACTGTCAAGAGTTACGCTTATCACTCGGTGGAATTAGGTAATCTTCAAGTCGTTCGAAAGGATTTTTTGGCAAAGGAGCGCGAAGTCATGGACTGGCTTGCGCGATGATCTTAAAATGCTTACGAGGATTTTTCTTTGCAGGATTCCTTCGTACATGAAAGTAATATTCTCAAAGCAGAGTAACGAGAGCTAATTAAAATTTCACACATGTAGACTCTCTCTTCTTGGTGATAAATTAATAAAATATTTTTGAAAATTCATTAATATCAATTTATACGTCAAAAATTAATATTTTACATAAAAAGATGTTCGATGCTTACAAGACACAAGTAAAGACGCGTTACTTGAAAAAATCGGTGCGTGTCTGATTTGAAAGATCCATCTCGAGAATCTCGAAGAATCTCGCTGTATAAAGTTGGTGAATAAGGACGAAAGACCGGCCGGCGGGCGTGCAGACGAGCAAGGATTCTCGTGCCATGCGCACACGTCCATCGTGTTCTCTCTCCGAAGACGCGTCGCGTCGTAGAAGAGGGAGGAAGGACGTAACGGCGAGCGTCGTAATTGAAAGAGGACACATTCAAGTCTAACGAAGATGGGACTAACGGAGAGAGACAAAACGCACAGCAGCATCTCCTGTAGGATTCGTCGTTTGTCGAAAGTGAGCGAGAAGGACGAGTAAAGCAAGAGGAAGAGAACAGCCAAATACTCGTTGGAAGGAGCGGAGAGGAAGGGCGAAAGCCAGGAGGGGTAAGGAGCTCTCAAATTTGGTTGGCTGTCGCTTTCCACCGTTTTGTCGTGCGTGCCTATCCCTCTTCAGGCGAGAATCGGAGAAGATCGACTGTAGTCGAAGGTAGTAGTGGGGTTGGTACACCGAGGAGGGACAGGAGTAAGCAAGCAAAAGAGAAGAAGGCAGGAGAGAGACAGACTCGTGTTTCGGCTAAGTATTTGGACGAGACAGGAGGGAGAAGTTTAAGCGAGAGGAAGAGAGAGAAACTGAGAAAGAGCGAGAGAAAAATATAACGGAGAAAGCAAGAAGGACGAGAGTTCTTCCAATGAAGGGAGCGTGATGGAACGATGGAGTCTTCGTGAGAGAAAGAGAAAGTTTTATAACGTTAAACGGAGAAAGACATGATTCGCTGATGTGTTGGAGAAAGGAGAAAGACGTTCGAGAGAACGATAGAGCGAGTGGAAGAGAGACGATTATAGAGAACGAGGGGAAACGCGTGGAGGTCTGAGAGAGAAAGGCAGAATTCGAAGAGTCGGCAAGTGACGACGAGAGGGGGTGGCGAGTATTGGCGAAGGAAGCAGTGTGGGGCGGAACACGGACGAGGGAGGGATGAGGGGAGGAGAATGGTGCCTTGGCGCGAGCTCTCCAAACTACAGAATTTCAACGACAGAACAGACTTGTGCCGGCGTTCGTACGACACGGTTCTACGATAGTAGTGAGCAAGTGTAAATCCGAGAAGAGTGAGAGAAAGAGAAGAAGAGAGGAAAAGGAGAAGAAAAAGAGAGATGTGGGAAAGTGGGGGAGACCGAACGGAGGGGTGACGGCAAGGTTGAGGTGGTTGCGTCTCATTGTGTTTGCGGCTTCACTTCTGTTCTCGCAGTATATCTGTATACCGGAATACGTAACGTCAGGTGATCACTTTTCAGACACCCACGATCAATTGTGAACAGAGAGACTCCGAATAAACTACTACAAGTGAACCGCGCTCGTGATAGTTTTTAAAATAAAGATCGTTGGGAGTTTTAGAAATTAGAAAGCTCGTTTTGGAAATTCAAATTCTTCTTTCGGAACACCGTATGACGCCGTCTCATCAAACGAAGGCGACCTTGCTCCGAATCGAAGAATGCAGATACAAAGGCCACTAGCATGCCACTCGATATGTAAATCATGAGCGATACGCGCGTTCGCTTTTATTTTGTTTTGTTCGTTCGGCCGCCGAGGTAACCGGCATCATTCGAATCTCGTTATCGAAAGCCGCGTCCCCGGCATCAAAGTGGAATTTAGCAAGCGGTACCGTCTCGCTGTCGTCGACGTCGTCGTCGACACGTCGTCTAGTCGAGGCCGACGATGCCGCATGCGGTGATCGTGATTTTTCGAGCGACATTGAAATGGAAATTCGCGTTTAGAGTCAGTGCAGTCATATGATAAATGTAGAACACGGTGTATCCCCTCGTTTTTTTTGTTTTCTAGTTCCTTCTCCTTTTTTTTGTTTAAAAAGCCTCTCCCTCATCTATCCCTATCCATCGCTGTCGGCTCAACTGTCAGTCAAAGACGCGATGTTACGCTCCTACTGAGATTGAATCCTCAATCGTACATGTGACACTCAACGGTGCCGCTTCGCGTTATCACCCGTCATCGTCGTGCCCATATATTTCATGTGATTCTATCGCGTTCTATATGGGACGCAATTCAGTGGCAAGGTGAAACAATCGAAAACAAAAAGAAAAGGAAGTCGTCTTACTTGCGCGCGCGCATACAAGCGCATGTCAGGTACTCATGTATATTTTGTTCAGTTTCATTCTGTTCGCGTTGTGCATAGACTACTGTTTGATCGTGTGTATCGCGAGTAAACGACGATTGAAGTGCATGACTTGACCGTCGAGACGAAGGGAGAGGACAATATGAGTGAAATGACGAGTGCCGTTGAGACGCAACAACAACAGCAACAGTACGTAGACGGTAGTTCGAATGCGAAGCTTCACTGCAAGGATTGCGGTGTAAAATTCGAGAGCGAAAAAAGTCTAGAGGTGCATCTGCGTTATCAACACGAAAATTTGCTAAATCAATGGGCCAATAAGACACAGCAGGAAGAGAGCAATAACAACCATAGCAAGACTGGTAATCATAATAGTCACGTGAGCCGGGACAACGTGCCGGCGGACACGAGTGAAGCATCATCGATGTCGCCCTCTCAAGATTCAACATCCTCGCAACAAACGCAGCAGCAGCAACAATCACAACAATCTCACACACAACAACAGTCTGCTGTACTTATATGTTCGCCATTCGATCATTTTCGAACTCCAATGTATAACGACGGCTACTACATACAGAACGATCAGCCTTTCATCTTGTCTCATCACTTTTCGCCATCACAGGAAGACGGCCAGAATAACGGCAGTCGCGATGGTAGTTTTCGCTATCATCCGTACCAACATCAGCAATTGTATTCCTCAGATCGCACGACTTCTAACTCTACCAGCCCGCAAAGCCCGCCTTTTCAATGTGACAAGTGCGGCGCCGTGTATGAGGACACGAATCAATTAGGTGAGCATATGAGAACGAATCATTTGGATTCGCCTACCGCGTATCCATCCGCACCTCAATATCAGCAACTGGGCAATAGTCCTCAGCAGCAAGGCCAGCAGATGCACCCGTCACCGCCTCTCTCGAATCAACCGCAACAATCTGGTTACGATTATAACGGAGTACAGACAATCAAGACCGAAATGAAGCAAGAACAGCCTGAAGAGCAAGCTGAGATCCTTGACTTGGATTCTCATAAAGTACACCGATATGAAGAAGAGATAATGAGAATGCAGCAGCAGCAGCAGCAGCAGCAGCAACAGCAGCAGCAGCAACAACAACAGCAGCAGCAGCAGCAGCAGCAACAACAAGGACTTCAGATGCAGATGCATCATCAACAGGTGATGCAACAACAGCAGTCGCAGAGAATAGAATCGCTTTCGGTAAGTTCTATGTTGAACTGGCAAACTATGACTCATGATTATGCTGGACACCCGTCAATGGGTTCCATAAACAATGTTCCACCTATCACTGATCAGGATCAATACATGCGCGGTCAACATATGCCTGTGGAGCACGGGCATCAAGGTTCACCAATACTCGCAAGCACGCAACCAATACCGAGCCATCAGATATCGGCTGGATTCGTGCAGCAAACACCGAAAGCGCCACCGTTGGCGAATCAATCTTGGAAAAGCAACGAGCCACGCCGTCCAAAGACATACAATTGCACTGCGTGCAACAAGTGGTTTACAAGTTCAGGGCATCTGAAGAGACATTATAACACCACGCTCCACAAGAATGCTGTAAAAAATGGAAAGGATCCTGATCCAGCAACTTTACCGGTCACCAGTCATCATCATCCCAATAGAGATAATAGCGCTGGTCATTCAACGAGCGGTAGGGGCGGTTGCGCTCCCGCGCGATCTCCACCGGACTCTTCGCGGAGTCCCCCAAACTTGATGGCAGGTCCCTCGGGCGAGGCGACGGGGGGCCTGCTTCACACGCCCACCACGCTCTGCAGCAACAATTCCAGCAGCAACAACAGCAGCGAATCTTTAGCGGTCCTGGTGCAGCACCAGCATCAGCAGCCGCAACTGATCCCTCTAGGAATAATCAATTCCCCGGTGTCATCGCCACTGGCGGGGCACCATCAGCAACAAATGGGTACTGCGCCTCACCAAATGGGCCTCCAGCAGCAGCAGCAACTTCACCTGCCAACGGGTTCATCGGGCCAGCCGGTGCATCATTCCACGACTTCGCCCACCATGGCCCCACCGGCGGCATCGCACATGAATTGCCCTTCACCAATGGATTCATCATCCCACCCGGTTCATCACATGAACTCGCCGCCCGGCTCGGGCCATCCAGCAATGACTTCATCCACGGTGATGGGGGGTACTACGATGCCTCCTCAGCCGTACCCAAACGCCTTGCCCCCCCACGTTACAATTACTACCAACATCCCGGCGGTCCCACTGGAATCTACCCAAGCACCTACCACCATGCAGCTAGTTACTATTGGTAACGACCAAAACAAGCAGCCACGACGCTTGTTGCCCGGTTTTAATACCATCATGTCGAATTTCTCGGAATTCGAATTTGTCGTAGATCAAAACCATCAGACACAGACCGTTAACGTGGGGGGGCTCAATGTAGAGGAGATCGCTCCTCAAGAGTCCTTTGAAGCTTCAACATCGACCTATGACCCATTTTCATCAACGCGTTACAAGTCGTTGAATGATGTAGACATAACGATGTTGCAAACAAATGGAAGTAATATGGTGCAGCAAAATCAAGATTCAGAAATGACGTTGTTGAGATATGAATTCAATCGAAAAATTGATATACAGAATAACAATCATCTGCCGCCAAGGCAAGCAAAGGAGGATTTGGATCCAAATATCGGCTTGCAGCCAAAGAAAGAGCGTAAAAGCAAAAGTAATAATACGGACAAGCAAAATGACATCATCATCATCAATGCTAATTACATTTCGCAAGACGGCATCTATAAGTGTCTCGATTGCAATAAAAATTTCAACAAGCCCTGTTATTTGACACAGCACAACAAGAGCTTTCATTCGGGCATTAGACCGTTTAAATGCAACCTGTGCGGCAAACGGTTTTCAAACGAAGAGAAGAACCGAAAGCATTTGGAAATGCACGCGTTGGCCAGAAAACATCAATGCAACACGTGCCCAAAGGTATTCGCACATAAAACTGATCTTAAACGGCACACCTGTATTCACACTGGTACAAGACCCTTTAAATGTGATACTTGCGGTAAGGGATTCATCAGACAAGATCATATGAGGAAACATCAGGAAACACATAACAAAAAAACGCGGATAAACAACCAACGGCAATCCGCTCAGCGACTCCATAATTCACGAGTCAATGCTCAACAAGGCAACAACGCTCAAAGGCCCAACAATGATCCACAATGTTCACGGATCAACGTTCAATTCAATAGCAACTGCATGGAATTATAAAGACACATGTCCTTGGGATGTCTACGTTCGATTGGATGCGCAGCCTCGAGATCGTCCTAATAACAAAACGCGAGGTAAGATTCCTTGCCGGCCAAAGGACATCGTCTTTTTATCCATGACGGCTTCGCAATTTTTATTTTTTTGTATAATTTTATAATTGAAGATTCGATTCGACGCGATAACAATCGCTAAATTAATAGGTGATTATTTTTACGCTTATTGTAATTTATGATAAACTAGTATAATCTCTGTAAAATAAGATTCGATGATGATTCATTGAGAATGAATTTTCTTCATCATATATGTGTCCCGAGAACAAAACTTTTCTTTTTTTTTCGGACAGTTCCGATAAATAGCGTTAAATACTTAATGTCTATTCGAGGATTGAAGGAGCTCAATATTCTCTAAGCCAAAATAATTGGATGAAAAGATTAAACGAAATCACTGATGTTTCTTACACACATAATATAAAAAAAAACGGATCATTATGTACGATATTTTCATAATAATAGAACAAGAATTATTGCGATATTAAAAATTAATTTCGACAAAATGGCATGAAATTTTTTTCTGTTGTTTTTGACACATTAATTGCTTGATTTAATTGATCGCGACTTTAATTCAATAATCCGATGTTTCTGATGACGATCTCAAAAGAATTGAAAATGTCATATAAATGATTGAGAAATTAAAATCGACACACAATATTAAACTTACAAATTGTACAAAGTATATTGAAAAAAATATAAGTGTATATTATTATTATATTGTAATTATTGATAATAGTATGAAATAAAAAAAGGTTGTTTAATATGAAATTACAACTATAAGAGAAAGGCCAATAAACATACTTGTTTTATACTTTTTTATACTTTTGGTATTAAAGTTACTATTAATAATTATATATTTACAACCATATTTTATTTTGTACTTTATCAAACGTAATTCTACAATTATTAAAACTTTTACTTATGTATTTAATTATGTACAAATTTGTCATTATGCACATTTTTCATTTTTTTTTTTTTTTATAAAGTATGATATATACATATTCATATATTTTTTAAATATATGAATATGTATATATACATATTTATATATTTCAGAATGCATGCATGTTATAGATAGAAACGTAATAATTTTTTAATAAATAAAACAATATTAATAATTATAACTACATTATAATCATGAATTTTATAATTATTAATATTATTATTATTTATATTAACATAAATTATAAATATAAAATTGATATAAATCAATATTAGAATAATAAAGTTCTTACTGCTCTTTGATTGAAGGAAAATATAACTAAGCATAAAAACTAATAAAACTAAGCATAAAAATCTTTTTATCAGAAATAGAAACATTTAGCATCTTTGCCATAAAAACTTATATCGATGAGCAGAAATTTACTCCTATTTTTTAAAAATATATTTTATTATATTTTTATTGAAATTGTAAATTTAATGAAATGATTATTTGTAGTACTGTATATAGTACTGTATATAGTAAAATCTTATATATATTATGAATTTTCTTTTTCTTTTACGTGTTCAGTAATAACAATAGAAAATTTTATTCAAATTTTATTCAAATTTTTATAAAATTTAATATAAAAAATTTTTATTAAATTTAAAGTTCTTTGTTTTCGGATAATTCCAATGTATTTCGATTAATAAGAGAATCTTTAAGGTAAGATATCTTTAAGGTTTCTATCTATAACAATTTTACATTCCTTTTGATGTGCATTTCAATCGTTGATCGGGCACGTTCTCACAGTGCCTCATTTGTTAATTTAAATATTTTAATTAAAAGTTAGATAAGTTTTAATTATACGATCTGTGCGTTGCTCGAATTGAATTTCGCTCCCATTTTTATATTATCTTCGTAAAAAATCTTGATAATGTGACTTTATTAATTTGAAAAAAAAATTAAATTCTTTTATGATTTTATATATAAATTGTTAAAAAAATTATGTAAAATTATGTAAACGAAACTACATAATTTTTTATATTATTTGAGCCATATTATGCTATATTATTTAAATGATTTACATATCTTCATTCCATCTATATTTTCCTTTGAATTTGTATATTATATTCAATTACATCAATGAATTTTTATTCTATTTATTAGCATAATCAACCAATGTTTTAACATTAACACACACTCTATTGATCTGAGAAGTATTTCGATATTTTTATTTTATTTATCAACATATTTTTTTATACTAAATATCTTGAGGTATTAATTCATTTATTAGTGATTGTCGACATGTTCCTATATATATTCTCTGTATTGAAATTTGCCAATTAGATATTTTCGCAGCTCAATCGTTCCGCATATTGACATCACTGATTAATCGATCCCTGATTAATTACTGGCAAAACGAGCTAATCATCGAAGCTGCGATCCCGACCCTTTGGAGCGAATTTCCCTTCGAGCCACGCGTCGTTCGGCGCACGCAAGCATGCAATTGTGGGTAAACGTTCACGTCATTATAACGAAATAACGCCCAGGTACGCATAATTGTTTCCGTCGGTTGTTGTCGAATCGAGCGACCGATTTCAGGTGCGTCAATAATTTCACGCGATTTTGATTATTTAAATTTTCATTCAACCGTTGTTGTTTAAAGAGAATTATCTCTAATGTCGATTATGTTAATCTTTCAATTAAATTTGTTTGTTCCATTACAAACATAATAATCTGTTTATATATTAGGTGTTGGATTAAAAATGCTACGAATTAATTCCAACACCTAATATAATTGTACATATTTTATATCTTAAGTTCTATTAGGTTCATGCATTTATCGTTACGGTCCGCATTTTTTAGGCATTCAGTCATTTTAATAAAAAATAAATGTTTTATGATTTTCGTTGCATATTCCAAATTGTTTGTTAAAACTTTTTCGACAAATTTATAATATTGGTATTATTAATAACGTTTAATATTTAATACCGTAATATTATAGCAGCTCGTTTTTTGCGGTCGGATATTATTAATGTATTAATAATATCTAATATTAACATAATATTATATAGTAACATAATTAATAATTAATTAATAATATATTTATATTAATAATTTCGCAAGTGCCTCAAAGATTGCGTGACTGTTACGATAAATACCATATACAAGATATTTCTAAAAGAATATTATATTTGCAGAGAGTGAGAGAGAGAGAGAGAGAATGTGATTCATTGAAAATTTGTAAGGAAATGTAATTAACATTCCTTTATTCTTTATTTCTAAGATACAACTGTACTTAGCAGACATACGCATTAGCGGATGTTCGAAACTGGCCGGCATTGCCAGACACAAAATAATATCATTTTAGAAATATCCTGTATGAAACCACGCATAGACATGTGTAAAGATAGAATCAGAGAATGTACACATAGCAGTGCATCATGTATTCATATGTCATAAGTGCAAGCGCGATATCCTTTCGAGCCCTATTCTGTTTATTGTATTAAAGAAAGGTAAACATAATAATATCGTTTAATATATAACGGTAACACGGTAACATGGTAAATGATATATCACACTCTTGCCATTTTTACTACGTAATGTCAACCCGGAACTGTCTACCTCAGAGTTCAGGTATTAACGATGAATGGATGAAGAAAAAAGAAAAGATAAAAGAGCCAATGCAATAATAATAATAATAATAATACTGTAAAGGTAGCAAATGCGGGCGAAACGACGGATTTCCACATATTGCATTTTAAGTATTAACGGATAAAACTTAAGCGTTATGTGCCGTCGATGAAGATCATTTCTTTTCTTTATCCGAATATTAGTCTTCAAAAGTTCAGAAGATATAATTGTATAAAAGTGTAAAAATTATTTTTTTTTACTTTTTTTCGCATCGCCCGTAGGTTTAATCGACTTGTAATAAAACGTTGTAATCTAGAATTTAACAATAATGTACGAATGAGTAATGTGAGAAACAAAAAAAGAGAGAGAAAGAATAGGAGAAAAATTGATCTAATAGCAAATTTGATTGGATGTGTCAATGCGCACTAATACGACTTAAATGTGTATATAAGCATTATACATAAATATTAAAGCAAACAGAAATGTACACAAATTGATGAAAAGACTTACTTGCAGTACGTAAAATTGAGCCAATAATTTTGCGTACTATTTGATAGAATGTACATTTGGCATTTTTATTATCGTCAATTAGAACGTCTATATTACGTTTCTGTATTTAGTAGTTAGTACGCAACCGAAAACGCGAAGATTCTAGAAGAGTGGCGTTTTCTAGACACATATCACAAACAGTGTTACTGTACATTCGATTTTAATTAAAAAAAAATAATAATAATCGTAAACGTACGCGAATTGAGAAGAAAATTCCAATTACGATCTAGCCATATCACTGTTTTGTAAAACAATCATTGTATGTGAGGGCGAAAGGAGAACAATACTTTTGTTCGCAATTTTATTCGTCTCCGGAATGGAAGACGGTAAAGAAAAAATATGAGTGAAGCATATGTAATAAGAACATTTTATTAATAACGATTTAATTTTTAGTGCTTCCTCTATATAAGTAAAGAATTTTGTTCAAGGGTTTTGTGTATAGTTGTTCTCGAAGCGCGAATGTGCACTTCGCTTGTTTCTTCATTATTGACTATTCGATTATTATATAATATTATTGTATTCTATATTATATTATATAATATTATATTCTTATTATTATTATTATTATTGATAAAAATTATCATATTATGATATTCCCTGTACATTTCATTCATTTAGAAAACGCCTATTAAAAATGATGATTAACCCGGCATGCTATGTGCTACGTATTCGTATAAGTGAACGCTTATACAATGTGTGTATGTACACTGGGGGATTATTTTCTAAAACTTACATATGATATATTAGGCCAGTAGGATAATGCATATCTTAGGTTTCGAATATCTAATAATTCTTTTAACAAATACAATGTTTTAGGTTGTTTAAATGGTCTTTGGGTCCATTTATAAGATTTTTTTGAAAAAAAAAAAAAGAAAGGAATGATCCCCTAGATATTCCAATGTATGTTACATATGTAGAAATCAATTTAGAAACAATGTCCCGAGATGAAAACAAAAAATCTTGAGGAATTATAATTCCGTAATCAATATTTTCAAAATTCGGAAATATTACGCGAATGTTATAATACTTCTCTAGATCATTATCTTCTGAAAAAAGAAAAAAAAGGGGAATCTAAGTTTCTCATTTGTTTTTTATTCTAAGGATTTTAGAAGGATTTCAGAAGAATTGTATTCGAGGACATTGTGTCTACATACTATATTTTAAGGATAATGATAAGACATATGTACATATAAACGCGATTTGAACTACAAAATGAAACAGTAATATTAATGGTGTTGGAAAAACCCTCTAAAAAAATGTGATTCTGATTTCATGGGCATTTTCTCAAAGAGTATATTAAAAAGTAATTAATTTACGCATTGAATAAAAGTTGCTTCCTCCGACACCGGACTGACCAGACGATTGCTGCGATATAGTGTATTATATGTATTATATACAAAACTTATTTACACTTAATATTATACGCTGTGCATAAGTCATCAATTTAATCTCTCGTAGAATGTAAATTTTTACAAAATGTGCCATCATGTCATCCTATTCATATCATGTGCAATGTCCCGTACGTTGTTTTGAAAGTCTGAATCATAAAAAATTTGGATTTTACTAGTAGATAGCAATAAATTGTCAAAAATTTTTACTTCTACGACTGTATTGTGCGCTCAATATTATATTGTGCAGTGTGTTGATGATTTCTTAAGCTTTACTGGTGGTGTTTATCTTTTTACTGATGTTCTTAATAATTGACGGTGAAGTTTCATTGGATCAAAATCAGTTGATTCTTGCTGCTTGTTTTCTTCTTTCTTCTCCCCTTTTTTCTCGAGTTCTATGTCTTCTTTGACACTATAAGAAAATTCAATTTTCTTATTTTTATTTTTCGGAGTCACGTCAATTCCATTATTTTTCTTGCCTTCTTGATTCAATTTCTGTAAAATAATTAATTCTGTCCAATTTATATAAAAACTTTTCTGGATGATTCGCGACTTCTTCGCGAAATGCTATACTTGAATATTCCTTTTTTTTTGGAGTATGGCCAGAGCCTTCTTTTCTCCAGTCCGGTTAGTTCGGTATTGAAGCACTTTTATTCCGTTGGTGTCGGAAGAAGCACACACCTCTTGTTTAAATGTCTCTTGTGCCATAGCTATGCGTGTCGGTAAATTATAAAGTTCCATAGAGAGAGAATGCGAAATAGTGTGCGATTATTGTGACATGAATGATATTTCAATTATAAGTATATGACATTAATTTCATTCCAAATACAAAACAAAGCGTTTTCTATTCCTCTAAACGAGCGTACAAAGTCCCGAAAGAATGAAATTTAAAAAATGGCACAAAACTATTACCAAATCAATAAATATAATCTGGAGATTGATTGGAGACTGATAATGTTTCGGCGCTAAGGTGCGCAGAGACATAAAATAAAATAAAATAAAATAAATAGCTCGTGGTTCCAATAAATATACTAATATTAAGATCGTGAAATTTTTCGACTTTGTGTATCTTAAAAAATCATCGGAAAAAATATATTCCTCATTATTTGTCTTACGGATTTCGATTATAATTTTTCAGACCATTTTTTAAATTTCCGAATAATAGCTTTTTTAGGATTTTGCATGTTCACTCCACTCTTTCAAAGATGTTAACCTTGAATGCGTAATCTCTTTGATAGAGAATTGCAAAAATTGTATTTAAAAGTAGATTATTCTCGAAGAATTCCAATATGCAAGGTCTTGCATTCAGATTATTTTCAACATTACGCAGAACAAGATTATTTTTTTCAAAATTTATATAATATAAACATTAATATGTTGTAGGATTTTAAAAAGATTTTCAATTCTGTTTACGCATCTTAGGTTAACATCAACTGGCATCATATAGATTTTTTTATACTGCTAGTCATGAATTTTTATATTTTAATAATAATAGAACTTGAAAGAGATAATTGTTCTCATTGTATGAGATTTAATGCTCACTTACTTCCTTATTTCAAGTAAACATGTAACGATATCTGTATCTAATCTACACCGGAGATTTGTACTATATAATAATATTCTAAAGAAAGTAAACTGAGAAAAGCAAGTCGAAAAGATAGATATAATTAGTTAATAATTTGATTAGTTAGTAATAATATGTATTACTGTTTGTTTTTATAAGTTTTATAAGTTTTAATAATAACATGCAAGTTTTTGTTTTCACAAATTTATATTTTATTTCTTAAAACAAATTGTCCTTAAATAAATTTAAAAAGGCATTTTTTTGTTTTTCTTTTTGTTTCCTCCTTTCCTTACGTTTTTTTTTTTTTTTATTCAACGCACTCATTCTGCGCTTTATGAATTACATAGTGTATATATTGCATGTATTATTTGATGTATGGGTATATCGTACTATCAGCGAAATCCAATTACACTTTGTATCACTATAAGACGAGTAAATTCGCATTAACACTGTTATCTCATATTTAAGATTATATGTATGTATATACACGTAAAACGTAAACATGAAACGTTAAAAGATTCATGAATTACTTTCTCAAGTGCTTCGAAAATATTTTTCCTTGCAATACGAAATTATGTATTGTGTTGAAGCAATTTAGCCTTGCCTTATACGATATACCACATTTATGCGAAGTTTGAGATATGGCGTATGATACATGGGTACCGAACGGGTTAATGCACGTTATATTTGTTTCGCGTATTCGTGATCGAGCTACATTAATTCCGGCGGGCAGAATTCCGTTTTCAGCCGTTTTATGTACGAAATCCGTGAATTCCTTCCGTTTTATATACTGTTTGCACGGGCATTTTTTCTCGCGCTTTTATTGGCCAATTTAGTTAATATCAGAGTACGGACACGTGGGCATGTACGTGCCCACGAGATTTCATGAAATATCCTGATCGTGGCGAATCGCCCATCCTCCCGATCTGTACCATTACACCCACCGTCTCCCCTCCCCCTCCCCTCCCCCCCGTTTCCTCTCCCACGCCAGCTTCTCGTCGCGTACTCGTAACCTTGGGCATTCTGTAATTTAGCAAATTGTTGTGGACTCGACGAAAAGAATCGTTCGATTCGCGAGTGCTTCGCCAATAGCGATGATGATATCGTTCGCCGCGCTTCGACGATTTAAGTGCAAAAAAGGATAAATAAATAAATAATCTCGAAGAATCGAGAGACGAGATAAGGATGTCCCGCGAATTCCTTCGGATGAGGCAAAAAATTCTGATCTCGCACGCGACTTGATTGTTTCGGGAGATGGTAAGTTAGAGTCTTTGAATTTTTTTCGGATGATCTAACTAAAGTATATATCAATTGAGATTTTTGAAAATTTTAAAAATTTTATTTTAAAATTACGAATTTTCTTCCACTTATAATATTGTCCCATCAGCGTTTTCATGCTGGTTTATTGCCGAGCGAATTATACATCGTCAGTTTAAACATCGCTGTTTAAAGATCTATAATCAGCTGATACGCATCCTTATAGAAAGCTAATCAACGTCGTCAAAAAAAAAAAGCTCGGCGAAGCAAACGCGAATCGAGAGACTTGCGCAGCGATACGGCAGGGCTGAAAAAAAAAATGAAGAGAACGAGCGATCAGACGACCACGACGACGAAGATCGATAGTCGCGTGGATTTAATTGCGAATTACGCGGTAATGATTACCGCTCGCCCTTCCCTTGTTTTGCAGCAATAATAATTAATAGCCGATCGCCTCGTTGGTCCCTGTTCAGCTATCAGCGAGTCCACATCGTTGTTAGACTTAGACAACATCTACCTGATGATGAAGCAATATATTGATGCGATTTATAAAACGAAAGAGGAACCGAATGAAAAGTAGAGAGTGAGAGAGAGAGAGAGAGAGAGAGAAAGAGTGAATGAAAAATAGCAAATGAATGAGAAGAGCAGCGTATATGGGATAAGAAAAAGGATAAGTCGAATATTAGATGTAGTCCAATGTACTGTATTATGCGTCTTCTAGCTAAATTTTTATGTTTTCTAATTCGTTGTGAACGAATGTTTTTTGGTATATAAATATATAAATATATATATAAATAAATGAATCTATATATATTATATATTTAAATTCTAGACTACTAAATTCTAAGTGAGAAATCAATCAACGAGCTGCGTGGCGGCTGCTATTATATCTCGCCGCGAAAAATCTCACGAGCAATCGACGATGTATCGTCTTATGAGTGTGACAATCGAGATCCACGAAATGCGAGATGTTTGCTTAAATGCATATCCTGAACGCGTATTTAACGCTGAATGTGACCGAATTATATTTGTCCAATGCAGAAGAGTTCAAGCTTTAGTAAAAGGTGGCAAAACTCGGACGGCCACATTCCAGCGATACTTGCGCGATACAATCACGAGTCTTATGTGCCTCGCAGAGGTGAAATCATTCCGAAAAGACGAAAGAAAAAAAGAACAATCGGCAATTGTCCAAGATTGCCGAATCGTAATACTTGTTATAGTACTCGTTGCCGATCGGCAACATCGGGGAAGCCATCCAGCCGCGAGTCGCGGTTTGCGCGCGCATTCTCATATAAAAATACAATTAACTCTGTAACTACTAGCCCTTTCGAGAGGAGCACACTGCCGCCACGAGAAAAATTCAAAGGGAATTAAGAAGCGAGGGAAGCCGTGAAGTAAAAAGCTCGAGCGGATCTCGATCATGCAAACCGCGTAGATTTGTATACGGGTGCGTGTCCGCACTCGTGCACTCGTACTGCGCCGATTACGTATATGACGAACGCCATACACAAGTACCTCATGATACAAAACACATGTACAAATGTTCATACGTTTTCAGAATAATATTAGCTAATTAATAAATAATGAATATCCAACGGTGACTGACTCTGTGACGTTAATGGATTTCCCGTCCCTCTCCTACGTTCGCTTTTCGATATTTTTTTTTTTTCCTTTTCTTTTCCGTAAGTATGTGTCTCATTATTATACGTTTTTCTTGTTGCACTGAACGTCCGAAAGATAGTGATTTACCACGAGGACAATCGTTGTACGCGAGCGAGACGATCAGCGAAGGTACCACGGTAAGTATTCGTGAAGAGGGAAAATTATAGTATAATAACATACATATACACTTGCACGCACGTAACATAATAGAAGCTATAGTATCACAATATGCTTACATTATAACGCGCATAACAGAGTAATTTATTTAATGACTTGTGTCGCTGTTTACGACATTTAAGCGACGCGGCAAGGCCGTTAAATAATTATCGGCGTTTGAAACACGCAAGTCGCTTCATAATAAGCATTTCTCATGGCGTGACGATGAGGTGAGATAAATTTACACAGGATTAAGGAAATATAAGTATTAGCAGAATAAATGTGTGATTTCTTTCGATAGGATTTATTAGGTGTTGGAATTAATTCGTAGCGTTTTACAAGTGATGGGAAGTACTTTCATTAATGTATTTTTTAATGCTCATGTGAAATAAATAACATTCTTTCATTAAAAAACGCTACGACCTAATAATTTGTAATTACTAAAGTAATGTCGATAATTAAACAATAAAGAAATTAAACTTGGAAAGATTGATGAAAGTATTTCTGATCGAAAGAATTCTGTTCTCTTTAATATATCGAGATTTGTATCAATAATTAATATCGAATTATTAATAAATTAAATTGTTAATTTAGTAACATATATAGATTTTAAATTCATTTGTTTTCATCTTTTCATTCATTCGCGTTGAAGCTGAATAATGATCGGCTAAGCATAAATTAACGGAACATTGCCGTCTGAAATCACTTTCTGAGATAATTGCTACCCTCGTATATCTTATCGTGCACGAAAGGTGTCACGCACGTAGTTTTCATCAGAATAAACGTTTTTCGTTTTTTTAGAGCGATTTTCCTAACGTGCGTGACCAGCGGAAAAATTATTTTCTCTCCTCTCGGTCAATCCTTTTTACCATCGATATTTTTCAGCCGATTACCACGACCGGCTTAACGCACGAAGATTACCGCCGCGTTCTCGCATCCCGTGATAAATAGCAAGATTACGAGTCTGCGTGTCGGCCAATGAACGATGCCCTTAGCCCATGGACCATATGTTCCTTCAAGGCTGTGGGATACTCGCCAGGACTTTGAATCATGTTAACGCGCAACATTTTGAGCGAATCGCATCATTGAGAAGCGATACATTGATAAAAGTACAAAGATGTAAAAAAAAAAAATCGAAAAATTTATATATGCTTATGGCATTAATTAATCAAATTTAATTATAGCTTAGGTTTAAGCCAATAAAATTCTTAATCGAAAAACAACTTGATATAAAAATGGTAAATGTCAAAACTATAATAAATACAAAAACATGTTTTTCAGACAAATAAGTTATTTAGAAGTTTAAGATAAAAAATATTCTCTACATTTTTCTTTTTTGATGTAGATATAGAAATGTTTTCATGAATCATAAAATCGATCTCCCACGCAAGCTGAGAGAACGTGTGAATTCGATTAATGAATCGTGAATCATCCGTGTGATATAATAATCTGATTGAGAATATATATTTTACAAAGCAATTTTCTCAATTAATGAACTTCTGCGGTGACTGGGATGACCCAGCTTCCGATGTGCATCCGCAGGATTTTTCCCACAGCGAAGACAGCTGTCGTAATGAGTTGCATCCTCACGTTCTTTTACTCGTTCCTGAGCTCTCTCTCTCTCTCTCTTCTCCCTTCTCCCCCAGGACTTTATCTCGCCTTGTTCCACTATCTGACGGCGACTTTTTCGTTAAGACGATATATGCCCTACGTGACAATGCAGGTTTCCTTTATCGGCCGATGCAGTCCCGCGGGAACGAGTCTTCACCGATCCGCGTGAAAAGGAGGGGAGCCCGAAATTTGAGAAATGAGCCCTTCGACGGGCATAAATCGTAGCCGATAAGCCGGGGATAAAGACGAGCACAACCTTTTATTCGCGATTCTACTATGCTTCAAGCATTTCCCTTCGTTCTCCTTCAGATATCTTCTCGGTATCTCCTCGGCTTCTTCAACGAATACAAATTAATCGTACGTTCTTCACGCGCGATCAATATTTCGTGCGACGCTTCGTATAAGAAGCATACGAAGTGAAAAGTAAACTGGCGATTTAAAAGAATGTAGCCTATAAAGTCAAAGGTTGTCACAAATTTTTTATTCTAAAATTCAATGACATTTCCCTGATTTCTAGTTTTATGGCAGCCCTAAAAGTACGTAATATATTAAAGAAAAATTATTTCGAAGAAATGAAAATGGAAATTCGAAATTTTCAGCCAAAATTTAAATGGTTACGTGATATCAATCCTTTTTAAGTAGATTCTCTAGTTCCAAGATCAGAATGTATTTAGATTAGATAGGTCACAGACCGAAAGGAGGCTACGAAGAAGTTATGGGGAAATACGTGAGGTAGGTCGCGCAGGATGAAAGTTACTGCATCAAGGTTCCCTTGGAAATTCTTGGAGATACTTCTGGCACGGGAAGTCGAATTAGTGTGGCCCGTGTTACTGCTGCACGCTCGCTTTCGTTTCGATCTCTTTACAAGCGTTTCACCTTGGAAGGTTTTCGAAAGTAAAAAGATAGTCTCACGTGTGTCCGTTTCCGTTACGACGCGTGACGTTCGTCTATTAATTCATTCTCGTCTCGACCTTTATTCATAAACAGTGGCGAAATTAGACACAGCAAAATTAGAATTTAAATAATATTAAATATTAAGATATTGGAATAACAAGTAATAATCTCGAAAACAGATGACAAAAAATATACTATAAATTTTATAAAAATAAATTAAATATAAGCTAAGAAAATACTTGATATTTTTCTATTTTCATACATGCTATACATTTTTGTCGCTTATGTTATTTTTTATGTCAAGGCTTCAATTATCACTTTCGCCTGCTAATATAATCTTAAAATCTTTGTTTTCTATTGTAAGAAGACTTATGATACTCTCTAAACGTTGCTAAAATTTACTCTTAGAAATTTTTTAATTTGATACCAAGTTTGATACTTTATATTATTTTTAATCAATTGTTTTTTAATTTCTTTTCTATCAAATAATAATATTATAAATCAAGTTATTTTGTGTATCAAGATAAATTACTTATTAAAAAATGAAAAAAAAATCGATAATTTATTCTATCTGTAAAAAAATACTAAGTAAAATTGTTACGCAATATTAGATTTTGAAGAGAGGAGGAACCTATAACATATTAGTGTCGAATTCGAGACAAAAAATATCTTATGTCGAACATATGGCGCGTTCCTAAGTTACGCCGTTTGATTCGTCATCGTAACACTGGCTTCAAAATTTTACACAATGAGTCCTTCAACATGCTTGCTTTTTAATTTTACAAAATATTATATAAAGTAATTATTAGAATTTCACGAAATAAGTTATAATAATTTTAGCGCTTACGTACATAAAACACCAACGATTAAATGTCAAACATTTTTTATCAATAAATATATGATTTTATATTGAAGTAGCAAGAAAGTTTTTAATTATCGATTTATAATACGATATGGGATGCAATCTCGTTTAACATCCGCTTGATTAAATAATGTGTTGCATTATTAAAAGCGACATTTCGCTACTTTTCCAAGTTACTACCTCGCTTAAACAGCCCACGTGATGTCGTGAAAGCAGTTCGAACGATTGCGTAACTGCACGAGTATACAGTGCAAATAATAAAGACGATCGTTCGCGTGATTGTTCATAATGTCTACGGTGAAAGTTACAGAGAAAGTCCGTAATACGTGACGAAACAGTGCGCGCGACCGGACGTAATGCGAAACGGCACATTTATTTTTTAGCAACACTTTCAATCTGCGATGGGAGAGGGGAGGAAACGAGGTGAGGGGGAAAGAAAAAAAAAATTTGCAGACCCGTTACGCCGCAATCATGGATGTGAACGGCGATTTCAATGGCGAGCTCTGGCAATATCCTAAATTCGACTATCCGAAAAATCAATACAATAAATATGAATTTTTTTAAAAACAACATCGATACACAAGAGTATAATTTGGAAACAATTTTCACTCAGGAATTATTCAGGATTCTCAATTAATCTCTATTCCTCGGACAAGTTTCAAAAACAATATATCTATGTACTAATACACGGAAAGAGAGAAAGAGGAGAGAGAGAGAGAGTTTTGCTGAAATATAAAAATTTAGTTAGATACAGATCTGAAAACAATTGCGTTAGATCAAAATTAATTATCATACATATTAGATCAAAATAATTATGTAGGACTTTTTACGGAGCATTATTTCTCATCATGCTTCAGTTTCCTACATAATTATTATTTAATACTTCAACAAAATTCTTTAGATCTGTATCTATTCAAATTTTTAGATATTTCAGCAAAAAATCGTTTTTTATAAAATCTTGTCTATTATAATTATACTAAAATGATTAAAAGGATGACATATTCCATATGTAATAAACTCAGATAATTTGAGAACGGTAACGTTCCTCGGCAGGAACTCACAGTTGGAGCGAATGAATTTTCCGCGATCGGTCGACGCGGTGTGGCGGTCGAAAGGAGAGGAAACGAATTCGGAGCTCGAATGCACCAACACGACGGTTTCGTGAGCAAACAAAGTCGGCGACGTTAGACGGGATGCGCCTTGTGCATATATAGACGACGCGGAAGGCCTGTTCTCTCTCTCTCTCTCTCTCTCGATATGGCCTGGTAGCATCTGCCGGCGTTTCATTCGCCGTAGTTTGCGCTTCCCAGGCTCCCGTGGATGCACCTGGTCCTTACTGCTGCCGGTGCATTCGTCTCCTCTCCCTCGCGCTCCTTCCCGTTCCCTCTTCGGTACTCGCTTCACGAATCCGCGCCA